TCCCTCTTGAAAGCTTGTAAGCCAGTCACTTCTTGCCTTTATAGGACCCCCCATTTTGGGTAGTCAATGTCTTAAGTTGTCTATCCCTGTCAACCCTGTGTACCGAGGGGGTGGGAGTGATCCTCACTGTAAAGATTTGTTTTCTTTTTTGAGCTGCTGCATCTATAAATATAGGTAAAGTTCATCAAATTGTAGCAGGTTACTCTTTCCCGCCCTCTTCTTTCTTCTTCTAGTTGAGTTCTGATCATCCAGCCATCCAAGCCCAGTCAAGTGGGTACTATCTGCAAGTATGGGTATTCTTGTGCATCTCTCCTTACTTCATATCAGCTAGATGCTTCACTCTCCGCTCTAGTCCTCTGTGGCCTCTGGACCCAGGAGTCCCTGGGTCTTGCCATATTGCTGGCCATCCAGGTCTCCACCCAGGTTCACAGGAGTCTGTTGAATATGGTTGGGCTTAGCTCACAACTTCAGTGCTGTTTTTTCCCTCTCTTCTCCTTATTGGTGACCAGTGTGGTCACCACCAAATCCTTTTTTAAGACAAGTGTGTTTTACTGCCTTTTCCTTACCATTAGATTGACCTCTCCTTCCTGTGTGCCTGCATGGTGCCCTCTGTCATAGCCTTGGTCCTTCATTTCTGTTGAGCAGCTACTCTACATGTCACACACTGGGTACAAAACTAGGGAGTCTAAGAATAAGGGCCTGAGGTCCCATTCCCAAGGAAGTTCAGCAGAATAACATCCCGCTTCTCACTGGGGGAATTATTGCCCCCTAGTGGCTCCAGAGGAGTCCTGGTGTGGCGCTGTGTGTTAATGTGCCAGACTACAAAGCCGTTTGAACTACAAGGTCGGTAGTTCAAGCTCACCAGCTGCTCCTTGGAAACCCTATACAGGGTTGCTGTGAGTCAGAACTGACTCAACGGCACTTAACAACAACAACAACAACAGTGGCCCCAGAGTGCTCCTTGGAGGCCAGGGTGGCCAAACATTGTCTTTCATACTTCGGACATATTGTCAGGAGGGACCAGTTGCTGGAGAAGGTTATCATGTTTGGTAGGGTGGAGGGTCAGAGAAAAAGAAGAAGACCCCAGTGAGGTGGATTGGCAAAGTGGCAGCATCAATGGGCTCAAGCGTGCAACAATTGTGAGGTTGGCCCAGGATCAGTCAGTGTTTCGTTCTGCTGTGCATAGATAGGGTCGCTATGAGTCAACACCGACTCGATGACACCTAACAACAGCAAGTGGCCCTTTTGGACGTTTTGGTTACCATAATTAGGAGGATACAGCGGGCAGTGTGTATTCAAGGCCAGGAATGCTAGCTGTATGTTTACTGTTGCTGTTAAGTGCCTTCCAGTTGGTTTTGACTCATAGCAACCCTTTATAGGGTTTCTGAAGAGTGGCTGGTGAGCATGAACTACTGACCTTGCAGTTCAAACTGACTTTGCAGTCCAGTGCATTAACCTTCAGCGTCACAAGCACAGTTTTTAATAGCCCACCAGTCATTCATGTATAAAAACCTGTTTATAATTGTCCAAGCTTAAAACTTAGTTCTAGTGTGCCCACAACCCAAAGTATTCTTGGCTCGTTTTACATTGTTAAAGCTTGTGCAACAGATGGAGAACAGCTAGGGTTGATCAGTGTATAGGTTTATAGGCAAATGTGAAAACAAGTAGTCTGAAGTGTTTTAGGAATCCTTTTATTACTCACTGGCAGCACTTAGTTTCCAAGAATGCTAGTGATAGGCTCCACAAATCAGTGAGTATAGTTATCAGTGCTGCTTATAAAGAAAAACTAAGAAGATTCTATTGGGTGATAAGCTGTTTTATAAAAGTTGCAAGAGCAATGGAGAGTATGAGTGCCTTACTGTATATGTGAAAGTAAGATAACCTTTCTAGAGTACATGCTAAAAAGGATTTTGTTCATTTGTGTGTGTGTATGTTTATTTGGGAGGTCTGATATGGCGCTGTGGGTTAATGCACTCTACTGCAAAGTCAGTTTGAACTGCAAGGCCAGTGGTTCAAGCTCACCGCTGTCTTGGAAACCCTATACATGGTCACTACGAGTTGGAACTGAATCAACAGCACTTGTTTCCAAGGTCATACGTATGGTTGTTGGGAGAACTGAGACTTCACTTCCTCCTAGTGTAGGCATCATTACAACATGGCAGCACACCTCTTGCAGAGTTAGTGATCTGAGAGAGAGAGCGTGAATGCCCAAGACAGAAGTCACAGTCCTGTTTTTTTAAAAAAAAAATCTTCCTCGTAAGATGTCTCTTGAACTCGAAGCTACTCATCACACAAACCCACCCTGGTATAGTGTGGGAAGGTACTGCACAAGGGTGTGAATACCGGGATAATTGATGGCCAACTTGGACATCTGGTTACCAATGTATATGGATGCTGTTTGAGGGGTGCAAGGGAGGTGAGGGAGTAAAATACACATCACATAAAATTTACCATTTTAAAAAGTATATAGTGTTTCCCTAACATTTACAACTAATGTATAGTCCATCACCACTCTATAGTGCTAGAAGATTTTCATCACCCCTGCAGGAAGCCTCATATCATTAAGTGTCCCTTCCATTGTCAACACCTAAGCCCCAGGCAACCACTGATATACTTCCTGCCTCTCTGAGCTTTCCCATTCTAAGTAGAGTCATATAATATATGTAACCTTTTGTGGCTTGTTTATTTCACTGTCTTTTTTTTAGTATATTTTTGTTGTTGTTAAGTGCTGTCGAGTTGGTTCCAACCCATAGCGACCCTGTACAGGGTTTCCGAGGCTGTAAATCTTTACGGGAGCAGAAAGCCTCATCTCTCTCCCGCGGAACAGCTGGTAATTTCGAACTGCTGGCCTTGCGGTTCACAGCTCGATTCATAACCACTACGCTACCAGAGCTCCTTTTTTCAGTATAGCATGTTGTTAAAGTTCATCCACGTTGTAGCATGTATCAGCACTTCATTCCTTTGTATGCCTAAATAAGATCTAATTGGCTTATAAACATGCAAAAACACACTGCCATCAAGTTGATTCCAACTCGTATCGATCCTGTTGGACATAGAGCTCTGCTATGTAAGGTTTCTGAGGCCGTAAATCCTTACAGAAGCAGACTGCCTCATTTTCCCCTGGCAGCAGGTAGTAGGTTCCATCCACCAAACCTTTTGGTTAGCAGCCCAGTGCTTAACCCACTACAACATCAGTGTTCCTTTAGTTGACTTAGGGTATTGTTAAAATCTATTTTCTAATTGCTGTTGCACTTCTACTTCCAGCCATTATCGATAGTGGGATATTGAAGTCTGCCACTAATACTGTAGAATGGTTTAATTATGTATTTGCTTCATAAATTTTGGAACTCTTGTTATTTGGTGCATATATGTGTGTAATTGTTTATCTTTTTGATGGGTTGACAGTTTTATCAATTTGTAATGTTCTTTTTGCTCACATGTAACACTATTTTATTTAAAGTGTACTTTGCTGAAATTAGTGCAGAGTTCTGGTATGGCACTGTAGGATAAGCACTGGACTGCCAACCACACAGCCAGTGGTTCATAGCCACCAGCTGCTCTTTGGAATTCCTATACAGGGGTGCTATGAGTTGGAACAAACTTGACAGCACTTAACAAGAGCAACAACAAACTCTGCTTTCTTTTGGTTATGATTCACATAGGATATATTTTCCTTTCTTTTTACCTTTAAAAAGAAGGTCTGTATCTTTGGATCAAAAGTGAGTCTCTTTATGTAACCAGTCTCTGGTAGTCAATAATACTGTGTCCCTCCTAATGACTCTACATTGGCTTGAGCCTTTACAAAGTTTCTAGTGAGAATGACTCTTTTATTTCATAATGGAAAGGTTTTTCTTAGCCCCACTTTCATTTAGAGTTGTAGTATGATTTTCTGTTCCTAAGTAGGCAGTCCCCAGGTTACAAATGGGCCCTTAGTTATGAGCCAACCCCCATAAAGTCTATTATGTTAAAAATTTGAGCTATACACAATGGTTCATAATAACAAAGGGGGAGTCTTCTGCACATCAAAACATTATTATTATTGTGTTAAAAATGTTTTCGTGTATCTGGAAGTGTTTTCTTACTGATTTTTTTTTAATGCATATATACACTCAGAAAAACATTTATTTGACTAACTGATGTTAGATGTGAACCATACCTAACTGTTCAGAATTACAAACAGATTTCTACATAAAGATAGATTTAGGAACAAAATTAATTCGTAATCCAGGGACTACCTGTATGTAGTTTGAAAATATTAGAAGAAAATAAAACGCAAGGCATGTGCAAAGCATCCAAAAAGCAAGGAAAGATACGTTGATATTACCGGTGAATCTATTCCAGATGGGTTATTTTTGCCTAGAAATCTATCGAGGTATGACCTCTGTGCAGTGCATGATTGTGTATTATAAGTTCAAATATGTTTTACTTTTCTAAGATTAATAGTAAGACAAAAATTAAATATTAACCTTTTTTTTTTTTTTTTAAAGGTGATCATAGTGCTTGAAGATGGTAAACATAGTAAATAATAAATAGAATGAGCATCAGGCTTTTCTTTTTTGTTGTTAAGTGCCATCGAGTCAATTCCGACTCATAGTGGCCCTGTATAACCTTATATACAGGTTTTTGAGGAACAACTGGTGAGCTTGAACCGCCAACCTTGCAGTTCCAGCCTACCTTACAGTCCAGCGCATTAACCCACAGCACCACATCGGGTCTTCAGGCTTTCCTTTAGGGGTGTACAATCCAGGGCTACTCATAATAGAATTCTTAATTTTCTGCCATCTTATACTTTTACAGCCTTTGGTGTTACTTACTATTTAATGTTTTCAGTCCTTATTTACCTAAAGACACTTGTCGTAGTAGATTACAGATCATTCCAAGATTAACTAAGGTGAATAGTCCTAACAACTTTTTGTCCAGATAGTATGTGCAGGTACTCTCTTTTATGATTTGATATTAGAATAAAAACTAAAATACATTGTTCGGTGGTTTCTTTGCAGCTTCTCGTATGGAAATTTTGAAAAACCGAGGGAAAACAATAGCTAAGGAGATCAGTGAAGCCATGAAGGTAAATGCTACCTACTAAAAACTGTAAAATGAACAGATTGCATGACTAGGTAGGCTGCTCTCAGCATGCATATGTGTATTTGCCTACTGAAACAGGAATCCTCAGTAGTCTTTAAATTAATCTTTAATGAATTTGTTACATGACAGTGATACTTGGAGTAGTTACCACTTATACCACATTCCTAAGGAGCCCTGGTGATGCTATATGGTAAGTCTTGACTATATGGATAAGCACTGGACTACTAACCAAAGGTCAGCAGTTCTAACTCAACAGCAGCTCCATGAGACAAAGATGAGTCTGTCTGCTGCTGAAAAGATTACTGTCTCAGAAGCCCTATCTAGGGTGGCTATGAGTCAGAATTACCTCGAATACAGTGGGTTTGGTTGGTTTATCAGGTGCCTACTGTGTGCCAGGAGTCCTGGTATGGCACAGTGGGTTAATGCACTCGACTGGAAAAGTCGGTTTGAACCACAAGTTCAGTGGTTCAAGCTCACCAGCCAGCCATTCACTGGAAACCCTATACAGGGTCACTATGAGACAGAACCTACTTGAAGGCACTTAACAACAACAATAACAACTATGTGCCAGATATTAATTATACCTGGTTTCATTAATGATTGGCTGTATTATTGGGTTCTGAGTATTAGCAACCTATCAAACAACCTTTGATAATACGAATGTTGTTAGCAATCAAGTTGGTTCTGACTCATAGTGACCCTGTAAAGGGTTTCTAAGAAACAGCTGGTGAGTTTGAACTGCCGATCTTGTGGTTCAAACCGACCTTGCAGTCCTTGCAGATGAGGACGCGAGCACAGAGAGGTTTGTTGGTTTACCAAATAAGTAACAGAGCCAGGATTTAAGCCCTGGAAGTGTGACTCCAGAACCTTTATTTTAAACCACTGTGATATACTGTATATCCAAATTAGGAGTGTTAATATCCATAATAAACTTATTTATATTCTAGAAGTTTATTTTACCCTAAACAGGATAACCTTCGTATTTCTAGTATATGGAAATTATTTTAAACTCCTTCAGAATCTCTCTGTTCTGATGGTGATTCTTTTGTGGTTTGTTTTGATACCATGATTTTCTTTTGGCCAAGGTTTTATATAAAATATATTCTTTATCAGGGATTGCCGAACTGTTGTTGTTGTTGTTAGGTACTGGAGAGTTGATTCTGATTCATAACGACTCTGTATAGGGTTTCTTAGCCTCATCTTTCTCCCATGGAGTGGCTGGTGGGTTTGAACTGCTGACCTTTGGTTAGTAGTCCAGTGCTTATCCAACAGTGCCACCAGCACTCCTTTCACAGTTTAGTAGGTGAGAGGGATTTCAAAGCACAGGGCCAAATCCAGCCCACTGTCTCTTTTTGTAAATAAGCTTTATTGGAACACAGTCATTCACTTATTGTCTATGACTGCTTTTGTGCTACAGTGTGGAATTGAGTACTTGTGACAAAAATCCATATGCAAAGTCAAAAATATTTACTATGTGGCCCTTTATCGGAAAAATGTATGGATTCCTTCTCTTAATTATTAGATTTATAAAACACTCATTATCCTAAAATTGTTATAGGAAAGTTCATTTGGATATGAAAATTTTTGCTCTGAATTTCCATTACCTCTTTTTCTGTGTTAAGTTTTATTTTACTATCAAGAATTATAGGAACAAAATATCTTAGTCTTAATTTTCAGTTAAAATTGCTCAGGCAAAACTGGTATTTTGAAGGTAAAGTTGAATATCTACGACCCCCAAAATTTGGTCTCAGGAAAAGTCTTGATCTGAAGAATTAAAATTCGAGAGTGTTGTCTATCTATGTCTCTGTGTGTTTGTATGTTTGAACCTGAGATTCACTTTGGGTATTTTTTTTTTTTAAGTCTTTGCCTGCATTAATTGAACAAGCAGACGGATTTTCCCAAGTTTTAAAGATGCAGCCTGTTATTCAGCTCCAGAGGGTCCACCAAGAAGTCTTTTCCAGTTGTAATAGGAAACCGGATGCTAAACCCGAGAGTTTTATAACCCAAATAGAAACCACACCAACAGAGACTGCTGCCAGGAAAACCACTAACGTGGTACTCAAAAGGAGGAGACCTAAAGACTGCCCTCAAAGAAAATGGTATCCACTGCGGCCACAGAGAATTAATCTTGATACATAGACTCCTTTTTTGGATCCTGGGAGTTGAAAATAGATGCTATCAAAAATCAAACTATAAACAGGACTTTATTTAAAACAACCAATAACTCTTCAGTGATTCATTTATGTAGTGGCTCTATGCTGGGATATGATGTAATAGTGTATTTCTTCACCATTTCATCTACAGTAGATGCAGTAGATGAAAAAGATTTTTTTTTTTTTTTTAAATATTGGCACAGAGCCCATCGTTGAGCAATAAGAGTGTAAATTTTTATTGTTCTCAAATGCCACTAACTCTTGGCTACTTTGTAGCTTTTCATGAGTGATGTATTCTTTCGTTTTCCCTGATAATGCACCCTTCTATAAAAAGAGTTGTGTAATAGTCGTCTCTGTTGAAAGTGCAAAGCAGCAGATAGAGTGTTTTATTGTAGATGCAGTTTGATTTATTAATTTAATTTTCAAATAACAAGACTGGATTTGGCTTTGACTTAATTTGACTAATTCAGCTACTTTGGATTTGTGGGGTTAATTTTAGGATTATTGGTTTTTGTTTTGTCTTTTAAGATTTAAAGAAGAATACTATTTTTATGTAGGAATTCCTCTTACAAATAAAAATTGACATGTAACCAATGTTTCCTGCCCAAACTTTGATTTTTCAAAGACTCTTTAATTCTTAAACATAATTTGACTTGGAACTAATAGGTTCTTTTGGAATTTTTGATTATTGCTTCATACATAATTCTAGTTCTAAAATATGTGATCCAATTAATCTATTGACAGATTGTCATTTTGGAATAAATATATGCAATCATATTGAACTAGTCTATATTGAAACATATGTCTATATCAATTATGTAATCATTGGTAGAAATCTGAGAAAACTGTTTTGCCTATACTTTTTTTTTTAATATAATTTAATGCATTTTAATAGCAAACATACAGGAACAGTACACAGACAATGTTAAAAATGTACTTTCAGGTAGGACAACTCAGAAATGTATAGTGAATGGATAGAATCTACCATATATAAAAATGCTACAAACACTATTTAGTTGCTGTCAATAAGACATTTACTTGTTTTTTTTTTTAAAAAATGCAAATGCTGGCATTGTCCAGAAAAATTTAACAGGTTTATTTGTAATTGTTATAAAGTTCAACTGCTGAAACTTGTTCACTGAAACATTTTTACTTGCATTAATACTTTATGTACCTGAATTTATATTAAAAATTCACACAAATGAGAGTAGAAAAATGGCCAGTACCTGATTTCTGTCCCTTATTTTTCTGTTCACAGTCATATACTTAGGTACCTTTTGAACCCATGGGGGGAAGAAAAAAACCTAATGTCTAAAACTACCAATAACAGGAAGAAGAGAATTTTTTTTTCAAAGAATGAAATGTTTCCCATTGTAGTGGATTCTTAAGCACGTTCTCCATGTATGTGACGTGCTAGCTGGATGTCTTTTGGCGTAATTGCTACACATTTGGCATGGATAGCACACAGGTTAAGTGTCTTCAAAAAGGCCAACCAGATAGACCTCACTTGTCTCCTGCAAAGCACCAAGAGCTGCACTCTGGAAGCGCAGATCTGTTTTGAAGTCCTGAGCTATTTCTCATACCAGACGCTGGAAGGGGAGTTTATGAATCACAAATTCGGTGGACTTTTGATATGTCTAATTTCACAAAGCTCCATAGTTCCAGGCCTGTAACAATAAGGTTTCTGCAGCCCGTCAGTAGAGGGTGCTCTTATGAGCCTGTTGCTTCCTGGGTGCTTTCCCACCAGTTGATTTGTGGGCAGTGTAGAGACCCCCCTCGCTTAGCCCTCTTTTCCTTCTGCTGCAGCTTGGTGAGCTAGAGGCTGCAATTGCTGTACAAATGCAATTGAAAGATGACTGGCACCGTATTACTTATACTACTAACGTTTTACTCAAGTTTCTTAATAGCACCCAACTTGTCAACTATTTCTCTTTTTGACGACTTTAATACTGTTATTCATTTCCAAAGGCATTTATTAATCATGGGCTTGGAAAAATCTACTCTTGCTCACTGTCTCTTACTAATCATAAACGTTTAAATTTGATAGGTCTGTCTAACTCAGTGAAGAAACCTATAAAGCTACTCTTTGCACTCCTTGTTTTTAATGTTACACTGTTGTTGTTAAGTGTCATTAAGTTGGTTCCAACCCATAGCAACCCTGTACAGCATTACCAAGGAACGACTGGTGAGTTTGAACCACAAACCTTACCATTCAAACCAACCTTGCAGTCCAGTGCATTAACCTGCCGTGCCACACCAGGACTCCTGTATATTTATTCATGTTGTTGTTAAGTGCTATTGAGTTGCCTCCAACTCATAGAGACTCTGTATAGTGTTTCCAAGGAGCAGCTGGTGGATTTGAACTGTCGACCTTGTGGTTCACAGTCCATTGCTGATACTACAGCACCACACCAAGAGATATTTCATCATAGCAATGTGTTTACTGAAATAATGTATAAAGAATCTTGATAACTGTCTATTTTAAAATTAATCGAAAATATTCTTGACTTAATTTTAGTTGGATAGTAGGTCAGCACCTGCATTTCAGATGCTGCTAAAATGTCATTTCAAACTGGTTTTGAGGCTACAGAATATTACTGTTTAATACAGTGCTTTTTCATAGCATTAACATTCCGTATGGTATGTTTCACCTAAAAAGCTCCCAAACAAAAAAATTATGTTATTAGATTTGATAAATTGTTAATGCCATTGTTATAAGAAAATACCCCTTCCCTTTTAAGTAGCACACACTGAGATATAGTTTAACGGCATGATGTCTATCATTTGCTATGTAGTATGTCAGCAAAGAAGGAGGAAGCAGAACAAACATAAGCAAATATGGCAAAACTTGATAATGTTAAATCTGTGTGATGGATATAGTTGTTCTATATTTGTGTCTGGTTGATAACTTTTATAATTTTTAAAAAGGTTTATTTGAAAGACCTGGACAACTAACTGGGTTTGAGACTTCTCTGTGAGCCTAAAGTTACTTCACAGTTAGAGCACAGCTTATAAGAGAAACCCCACTGGGTAAGACTGGATATTGGCATTAGTAACTGACGTAACCATGACTGCTAGGCACGTATGCACTTTAAGAGAAACTGTATTTCTGTATCTACTAGATAAGAACAAAAAGTAGTTTAAAAAAAAAAAAAAAAAGTCTTTAGGTACAGAATGTTAGAAAGGTTGAAGGAAACAGTAAATAAAATTTGCCCTCCCTGTGATTTAAAAAAAGGCTGGGTTGCATGGATTCTTAAAATACACTTTAAACAAAAACAAACAGCAAGATCAAATCGAGTCTCAGGGAGTAGAGAACATGGTTAAAGCCACTAGTTTCAGTTCGATGAAGAGAAATGTGTTTTGTAAACTTCATCTATTCGAAATCTATTTTCATAATTTTTACCATGTCTGAGTGCCTTCTGAGTGCTTTAATTTTCTATGGTATTTCTATCCTTCCTATGTCACCCATGTTTAACTAGTAAAAATACAGAAATGTAAAACAAAGAATGTGCCTTATAACTCTAACAGCAAACATTATTACTATATATATTGGTTTATGATCTTTAAAAGATTCTTCTAATGATATCCTATGACTAGATTCTTCTAATGATATCCTATGACTATCAGTATATAATTATACAAGAAAATACAGATGTATGTTAATTTAATTATATAAATAAAGTTTAATGCATTCAAATACATATATACAAACATAAAACAATGATATATGCAATTAATATATATGCACAGTCTTCCGTGTGAGTACACAGAGAATTCATTGTTTTGTTTTCTCACTCCCTCAGCCCTGGTAACTGCTAATCTACTTTTGTGTCTATGCATTTGCCTATTCCAGATACTTTATGTAAGTGGGGTCATATAATATTTTTCCTTTGGTTACTGGCTTATTTCACTTAGTATGATGTATTCAATGTTCAGCCATGTTATAGCATGTATCTCTTTGTTATTGGATGCTGTTGAGTAGGTTCCAACTCATAGCGACTCTTTATGGGGTTTCTGAGGAGCAGCTAGTGGTATGTAGTCCAGTGCTGATCCTGCAGTACCAAATCAGAGCCGAGTAATATTCCATTGTGTTTCTCCATTCATCATTTGATGTACATTTGGATTGTTTCCACTTTTTGATATTAGAAATAGTGCTGCTATAAATATTCATGTGCAAGTTTTTGTCTGGATATACTTTAATTTCTTAGGTGTATATATATAAATACACACACACACATATATATCGGAATGGTATTGCTGGTCATAAGGTATTTCTGTTTAACCTTAAGGGCCTGCAAAACTCTTCTACAGTAGGTACATTACTTTACATTCCCACCAGCAATGGATGAGGGTTCTGATTTCAACATATCCTTGCCAATACTTGCTATTGCCTATCTTTTTTATATAGCCATTCTAGTGGGCATGAGAGGTCCTGGTGTGGCATTATATGATAATCAGTGGACTGCTAACTGCAAACTTGGCAGTTTAAACCCACCAGCCGCTCCTTGAAAACCCTATACAGGGTCACCACAAGTCAGAAGCGACTTAGTACGTAGCAAGAACAATGGATGTGAAGTGGTATTTCTTTGTGGCTCTGATTTGCATTTGTTGTTAAGTGCCATCAAGTTGGTACCCACTCATAGCACAGCAGAATGAAATACTGCCTGGTCCTGCACCAACGCTGCTACGTTTGAGCCTATTGCTGCTGCCACTGTACCAATCTCTCTCGTTGGAAAGTTTCCTCTCTTTCTCTGACCCTCCAATTTCTCTAACATGATACCCTTCTCCAGGGACTGGTCCCTCCTGAATATTTCTGAAGTATGAAAGACGAAGTCTGGCCATCATGACTTCTAAGGAGCACTCTGGCTGTACTTCCAGTGCAGATCTGTTTGTTCTTTTGGTAGCCATGGCACTCAGTACTCAAAAGCATCAATTCTTCTATGGTCTTCCTTATTCACTGTCCAACTTTCAAACTGGTTTTTTCAT